GAAGTACAAGCACTATTGTCTTCGTCAACGACTCGACGCAAGAAAAATGTAAATATAAACATGCCGGTTGATAAAATCCCGTTCGGCACGTAATTTGGCGGGTTGGCGTCGGCCATGTTGAATATTGTGTAGCATCCTGGCAGCATCCTTACACTGGAGAAAAAAACACATTGGATCTAAAGTCCAGACTCTTAAAAACATCGACAAGAAAAAATACTCTTGATTCAATAAGATTTAAGCTTAAATCAAGAACCAAGCCTCTTAATTTGAGCAGATTTCCTTTTGATTTAAGCTTAAATCTGATAGAATCAAGAGTCCTTTTTCTTGTAAATGTTTTCAAGAGTCTCAACTCTAGATCCAATGTATTTTTTTTTTCCAGTGTGCAGAGAGGTTGGATGGAGTGACTCCTCTTGCGAGATGTTCACACTTGCCGTGACATGTTTGTAAGTGGGAGGTTTAAAAAACCGCACATTTCTTACGCAGATTGCGAGGGATTGAAATGTAGATCCCGATGTTTCCCGATGAATCGTGAAACATCGTGATTTTTAAGCTTATTTCTATGAAAAAAAGAGCTCTTATGTTTACAACTGAAGTTTGCAACAAGCCCACACTTTAACGAAATAATATACAACCTAAGTGAATAATCAATGTATAATGGACCGAAAAAATCCCCTTAAATTGTTATACTTGATCAAATTTACTTTGAAAAACGCCTCCTTTCAGCTCCAAAAAAGTTGACAACATCCCCATCGAGCACAACTTTCTCCAAACCGCAGAGCAACCCTGAATGTATCTGCTTGATTGCCCTCCGACCTTGAGCGCGAGATTAAAATATTCGTCCCCCGGGTTCAGGAGCAAAACATCGAATTCCTCCGAGGATATTCGATTGTGCGGCTCACAAGCGCTCAAAGCGAAAATTGAATTCCTGGCAAAACTGAGACGTTCAATTGAAAAAGACGCTCCGAGTTGAGCTTCCACGTCAAGTATAGTGAATCATTGAATCAAAACTTACGATTCGCTGTCAGGGCGAGGAAGGTGGAAGGGCAGAAATGCAACTGTCAGTTGAAGTATTCGTGTCTGTAAGACGGGGCCGACGGGCGGCGGTGCCGATTTTCATCGACCAATCAGCTCGCTTCGCCATCGATCAAGGCTCATTGGATGGAAGTTGGCGCGAAAATTGACGTCAATGCGTGGATCTGGGTTTCTCGTCCAAGTTACACTTATAAGTCAGTTTTCGTTGAACTATTAAATCTGACAGGGGCTTCCGGCTCAAACTTCAACCGAGTTGCTTAGTGGCCGGTTAACGTTCGTCGATGATTTTGGAGAGCGGTGGGGATCCCGTGCGTTTTGGCAACGTCGGAGCTTTTGTTTAAATAAAGCGCCCGCTCAAGCTCACTTTTCGTGACTTTTTCGCATTTAATTTTAAAGCGCTCTCATTCGGTGTCTCATCGAAAAAGGTGGAGAGCTGAGGAGTAATTTCGACTGAGCTGTGTTTCTCTGGTCCAATCTCTCTTTTGGAACTTGGAATGTCTGATTTTTGGCGTTGATGTCAGAGTTGAAGTACGCACTTGTTCCGCCTGGTTACGGACCGTATCGTAAGATTTCCAATGTTAACCTGGTAATAAGATTGGCAATTGTTAAGTGGACCTTCGAAAAATGCACGAAATAAAAGGGGGGCGATGGGCAGTAGAAAGTTTAGCTATGTAAGCTCCCCAGTAGATCTAGTGGTCTGAGCTAGATTTCTGACAGTTTCAGCCAGACATTCAGTATATCTACTGGATTTCACGTCAACATCACCAGGTTCCTAGTACTGACTAAGTACTGGGTTTCCTAGGGTTTCAAGTACATAACTGGCTTTCTTTCCTTACATGACGTTTATGCGGTTGCTGAATCCGGTTCTGAAGTTTTGGAACACCTATCTAGCAGGGATTCGCCTGCTATTTTAAGAAAATGGCGAGAAAATGCGTTTATTCTTAAATGATGGCTTTTTGGGCCAAATTTTCAATGTGGCGGAAAATGCCCACAAAATAGGTGCCAAGAAACTTCGGATTTGGATTCAGCTAACTAAAAACATACAGTAAGCAAAAAACAGCTGTGTTCCCGGAATTCGAACTGACCCCTTTTTTAGTGACCCAGACCTGAACTAAAATGTAATGCTGTAGGACAGTGAGAACTCCCAGTCTTTAACTAAAAGCTGGAATAATTCCCCTTATCATTTTCATGGATTGTGGGCCTTCGGACGGAAAGTTATTTTTGCGCAAATACTAATTCTCAAATAAAGTACAAATACCTCGTGTTACAAAATCGATTCAATTTTTGGGCAGAAGAGGAATTTAAGACTAGCAGAACCAGCAAACCTATTATTTGAACATTGTTGATGCATTTAAAACTCTACAAGAATAGTTGGCCTCATCGTTAATTTTACCTGAAAAGTTCTCCTTCGACCAACTTTGGCTGAAATAAAAAGTTCAGGACGAAATAATAATCAATTAACCTCATTTATTGTCTACACCTCGACTGGGCACTCGAGTTTGACTACAGTTTCGAGAACTGTAATTTATCAAAATGTCAGGCTTTAAATGGATTGAGAAAGGCGACACACTGCATGAGTACATGGAGGAAAGTTACAACTTTTGTCCTTAACGTCTGTGTCCCACAGCGTATGTGACTCACGAGAGTCGTACATGTGAGCTTACGGTCTTGCTTGAAGTGGAAGAGAACAGTAATTAAAATCAACGCTTAAAAAAATTCATTTCATGAAACTTTAAATCTAGATCATGAAACCACAACTTGTTATGACGGTAAAATTGAGAAAATTTCTGTTATCGTTTTGCTGCTTTACTACGACTTTTTTTTACACATCGCACGATTATTTTTAAATAATTGCTACAAATTATCTCGTGTCATGTTCATGAAATTCAGAGGGATTTTACATTTCCCCGTTTTGAATTTTTCCTATCGTTTAACCCTTTCACCTGACACATAGCACCGATTCCAGCCTTTTAGAGGTAATTTAACTAATCGTCATTTTCCGTCTTGAGTATCATAGTCTTGACGGTGTAACTACCATTCCTTACAAATCCTTTCTATTAATGCAACGATGGAACCACGCATCGACAGTACCTAATCAGTGACATGCAAGACTTGATTTGGGTATAGCTTTTCCACAAACGAAAATAGGCATGAAAATTTCGCTTGATAAAATAAAAAAATGAGCATAAATTAAATAAGCAGGAAGAGAAAAAAATGACAAATAATCATGAAGTCGCATAATGCTGCAACATGAATACAATCTTGCAAAATATTGGCAACTTTGAATTTCGGGGACAAACGTGCTCTTCGAAAGAAAGAAAGAAAAAAGAAACCGCCTTATCGAGTATTGAATGTAGAGGTGTAATATGAGTTTTCGAAGTTTTCATGAGCAACATCAAGATTTGATTTATCAGACTGTACCTCGAAAATGGACTTATAACGGGTGGTCAAGTACTGAGGGTGTTAAAATGCACTCCTCCGGTTATTAAACGATATAGTAATTTATTGATTACGGAGTGTGCCTGTCCACTCTCTCGGATTCCTCTCTCTATCTCCATTCCCCGTTCCTCTTTGTCTACTTTCCGCCTCATGGATCTAATCACTTATTCACACAAAAAATGGTTAAAATCTCATCAATACGCTTGCGTTTACTTTCAAGTTGGTTATTCAAATATTGTTCGGGTTTTCCCTTGTTTTTTTCAGAGAGCGACGCGCAACATTTCCGCGGAAAAAAATTTGCTGGGGACACATTAAATTTGAGCCAGGTGAAACTAGAATACCTGCATGCGACTAGATTCCTGAAAAAACTGAGCTAATCGCAGCGATGGTCAAATGTTAATAATTTCGGATAGTCCCGGAAGATAATTGGAAGCAGAAAAAACAAAGAGAATTCTGCACGAGGCAAAATGTAAATTCTGAACCTGTTCTGCGAACGGATAAAAAGCGCGCTGAGTTTGGTATATAGATTTTTCACGTTTGCGAAACCTGTTAAACGTCCTCTGTCTCTAGAAAAACTACGAAACTTAGAACATTTATTCCATTCACTCCAGATTAATAGAGCATATTCTCGCAAATATGTCTAAAACGCAATTTTTTTGTTCGTATTTTGAAAAGTATATTGAGAAACTTATACAGGTAGAAAAGCGCGAGTTATTGATATTTTCTCCAGAAATTCCGGATGGTTTAGATCTAAAAGCGAATAAAATTTACAGAAAAATAGGAAGAAAAATATTAGATTTCCCTGGAAATTCGTACTTTGACAGAGGAAATTTGATAATGTCTCATCGTGATGGCTCATACGGCGTTCTTCCTTAGCACGACAGTTTGACGCTTCAGCTCGAGAATTTCCTACCCTGCGTATACGTGTTGGATCCGTGCAAAATGAAGTCCAAATTGCTTCGATTTCTTAGACGCTCAAATTGCACATACTTTGAAATAAAATGCGTACTACCTAGATGAAATTAAACATGAAAACCCCATGCGTGGAAAAAAAGGAGAAAAAAACGGAGGCAAAGATGGTAGGAGGAGAAAAAGTGGAGTATGACGGTGCGTCAACGGTGTGGTGCGATTGTGGATTGAGTCGTCAGGAGTTTGATGAGTTGATCTTCTGGATGTGACGCTGTGTCGCTTCGTATCCTCCGCCACTGCAAATCCCACCCGTGCGCGCATTTTGAGTCTACCGCATTAAGTCCTTTGTACGTCCAGATTAATAGTTGTACTTGTCGATTGCTCATAAATAAGGTCCGTCGATACTGTCACGAATGGGAAATCGGTGAGAAAATGGGGTCAGAAAATTTCACATTCCCTCATCACCTCTGAAATCCAAATCGTAGGTGATAGGTCAAAATGTCCAAAAAAAAATGTCCAGAGTTGAGAATAGCCCTATTTTACAAATGTCCAAGTATCTGAAATGTCCAATACTGGTTCTTTGGCCAAACACAAAAATGCCCAAAAGTCCATTTATTATAGTTTCTAGATATTCTTCATTCTTGATCACTTTCCTCATTATTCTCGTCTTCGGGCTCGTTGGAAACTCGAATGTAATAGGCAATGCCCCTTAGGTACCGTGGAATGTCATCTTCATCTTTGAATTCTTGATAGCGTTGGACGCGCTGTAGGATTCTCTCCTGATTTCTTTTCGACTTCTTTGAAATTTGTTGTTTGATCCGCGTATGACCCAAGTCGAGCTGTTGACAGAGCTGTTCTGTATCCCTTTGATCTTTCTGCATATATTCTATAAATTTCCAAATATTAAGATGATGGGATTTCACCATTTTCTGATACTTGGAGTGGTACGACTCGACGACGTTGTTAGTCCGGTGTAGTTGGTTTAATACCAAGTCGTAAACACACCACGTTTTGGGAGGGAATCTTGGGGGAACTGCGGGACGCCGCCCCCTTGCAGGTCTACCCTTCACATAGGTTCTTTCAAGGTACTGTACGAAATCTTCCACTTCGTCAGGGGCATCATCCTTTAGCTCATTGAAAACGGTGAGAATTTCATCTAGAGGGACAAATGGTAGTGCCATGAATTGAAGGAGACTGTTTCTAATGTCAGGATTTTCCAGGTCCCTGTAATATTGCACTAATTCCAGCTTTTGAATGTTTTTGAACATAGACTGTTCAAAATGAAACAGGCAAGAATGTATTTGTGCTTGCGGAAAAGCTTCTCGGCAAGCATTAATGTTAGCTATTTCAAAATCAGACATCAAATGTGGTGGATTTAGGTTAAGATTGTGACGCACTGCAAACGCCTTCAACTCTGTGTAAACATTGGAATACGTTTCTTCAGTCCTGTTGACCGTCAGTACATACACGAAGGGGAAGCAGAAACCCTTATAGATACCGTGGATCGTCATAAGTTGTAAAAACTGGTGCGGCACTATTTTGAAAGTTCCGTCGCTAAACATTATGATACTGGCTGCTAGCTTTGACATTACGACATTCTGAGATAGTTCAGGCCTGCTACTGGCCATTGGTCTTCACATTACCCTTCAGTAAGACTGAATTTTTTATTGTTCACTTTCATAGAGTCCTACGCCAATTAAAATGGGAAGAGAAGGTGGCTTCATTGAGGCGAATGCAAGATCACCTGTAAGCTGCGTTGCTAAAGTCTCCGGAGTTACCCGGAGACGTATACAACCGTTGTTCTGACTCCGGAGGAATTACACGGAGACTTGCTACGTCATACTACGTCAGTCTCCAAACTGCTCTTCAGCTCTCCGACCTCGAGAGGTCGGAGAGATACGTAGACTGACGTAAGAATAGGCGTTCAGCATTCTCGCGCCTTTTTTTCTGCTTTATGCAGCGAGTTAGTGAGTTTTAGAATTTTCAAAAAAATGCTAGTGTTTGTGGATTTTATTTTTAACGTGACCAAAATAACTACGCAGCTTCCTTTAGATGAGTTTCAACGAATGAGTGCTCGCAAGTTATGATGTAATTCATTCCCTTAAATTATCGCACGCACAAACCATCTGCAGTTTCTCCATGACTCTTCAGGCATTGCCTCTACGAATGAAAATTTGCAGAGCTGGTTCAGCCAACTCTTAAACAGAAGCGTTCCTGAAGTCTTAAGTTCAACTCCTTTGGCTAGTTATCCTCTTTGTCATGCCCATGTCAGGTATAAATTAGTGGCGCTCCTTGAGTCACCTATAAGCTCATTGGCAATTCCATGATGCCGAAATGCCTAGAGAGAACGACTTGCAAAGCTGACTATCACATAACTCCATTCCACCTTGAGCTTGTCCAACCCAGTAGACAAACCCATAACATCAATAATTGGCCCACTGAGACTGGCGTCTCACGTATAAGATCAGTTTGTATGAACTACTTGAAGCGCTCATGTGCTGTCAAGGAAGCATAGTACATCCTTCAGTCAATGGGATATTGCTGCTGGGTACATGCTGCCAGGGGAAACAAACCAGACAATTCCATTGATGCATATTATAATTTCATAATGAATTAGCACCGTATGAGTACTACTTTGATTACAGCTCAGGAATTCTAAATGACAAGTGCCCCATTAGAATAGGAGAGATGACGTCAACCCTCCGGGTAATTCTCCGAGACTCTACGCTCCCAGTCCTCCGAAGAGCTCTCCAGAGACTTTAGCAACGCAGCTCAATTTAGAGCATGGTAAAATATCGGCAAATACCTAATGGCATTCAATTAAGTGCGACCACTTGAGAAGGGAAGAAAATTTGTTGGAAGTTCATCATAACAATACTTAAGCATCACCATGTTAGAATCGATAAAATAAATACAAAAATTAACTTATTTCATGAGAGTCTGGATTTTCTTCTTCAAGCTCTCACTACCTCTTAAAGCTAATAAAAATAAAATAAAACGAAAAGCTAAATTAAAAAAGAAAGGAAAACATGTAAAAAATGAAAATCGACAGTATAGCCCGACATTTACCCAAAAAAACAGCAACCCTAGTTTCCCTCTAAAACGTAATTGTGTCGAAAATGATGGGTAACATAAAATAGGAAAAAAACGCTTCCGTTGTCTTTTCTAAAAATATTATAAATCATAAGAGCTCCTCCTTCTTCGGTAATGATACTTAATTTTCCCCCTTACACATGTATGCAATTCATAGTTCACTGGAAAAAAACACATGGGATCTTGAGTCCAGACTCTTGAAAACATTGACAAGAAAAAGGAATTTTGATTCAAGCAGATTTAAGCTTAAATCAAAAGGAAATCCGCTCAAATTAAGAGGCTTGTTCTTGATATAAGCTTAAATCTGATTGAATCAAGAGTATTTTTTCTTGTCGATGTTTTTAAGAGTCTGGACTCTATATCCAACGTGTTTTTTTCCAGTGTTTTGAAGCTGAAAACTTCATTTTAAAATATGATCTCTTTCTCTCTCACTCTTACACCCCATCCCCCTGAAAATGATTTGTTTTATTTTACCGTAGCTCCCCTAAATGTTGAAACGAACGAATCTAAACAATTCCATCCTAAATCTATTCATATACTCCTGATACCTTCACTCTGTAGGAAGTGTACACTCAATAGCTCCTTCGACCGAGCTTCCCAGAAACTAGATAGTTGGCGAAGGTATCAAAAAGGTGTCCGGAGTGGGTTTAATGCTTGGAATCCAGGTTGAACCCAGTAATGAAGTCATCGTCAGTAATCTCCGGCCAATTTCTGAGCGCGTCATTTATAGCTCGTTCCGTCATGACCTACCCTTCGCTTATTGCATCCTCGATAGCATCTACTTTTAATCCTCTGATTGGCAACACCATTAAATATCACTCAGCAACTCCAGCAAATCCCATTTTGCACGAATTGAAATCGAAGAATCTTAAGGAACCCCTATTAATTTTAAGATTTAACGTCCTACTACCGCGCGGCGCGGCATGCTTAAGGAAGAAAGTAAAGTGAGCAAAATAACCGCACGCACAAAACTTGCACCTGAGAAGAGCCTGAATTAAGCGGGTGTACTGTAAAGTCTTTAATGTGCATGCGATGATGAGTAAAAATCGCACTGTATTTTGCAATAAGGAATTAATATTTCTAGCTAATTTCAGAAACGATGAATGTGCCATTAACTTTCCAATGCAGGTAAGGGCTTTTACAGATGAATTAGAAATTGCAGTTCCTAATTGCGAAGTGAGGTTCAATTGCGACTTAAAACGCGGAAGAGGAAACGTATTGGATGCATGTGTTCATATTTCCTCGTTTTTTCCGTAGAAATGGAGCTATTTATTTGTTGCACATATTGTTCTCTTCCGCATCACGGAAAAGTAAGTCAAAATGCGTAGCATTAGACAATATAAAAATAATAGCTAAACTCCATTATCGAAAGTGCAAAAAACCCTGTATCTTCCACACAGAATCACGCAATAAGCTCCCCTTCCGGCAAAATTTAATTTTAGGCTCTGAAAATTGTCAATTTTCCTTGTGCACAACTAGGCGTAAACTTTAGGCGAAATACACTAAAACTAATATTTTTGTTCATTCCGGTGACTTTTCGGAAAAAAACATATTTATAATCATTACAGACCGGCAGCTACAAATACGACAAATAATAAATAAAAACGTTCCCGAAGTGAATTTTGCGAAAAAATTATTATTCTCCGATTTCCCAGGAATGACTGAATGGACTTTCCAGCTCAGATTCCGGCAGGGAAAAAAAATCACGACACTCGGTTAGGGAGTAAAACGACGTTGAGGCGAATGATTTACGCTCCGCGTGCGTCGCACCGATTCTCTCCTTCTTCAAAAATAAAAAAATAACCAAAAGCGACCTGTTAAAAAAAGGAAAAGGGAAAAGAAATACCGGAGCTTGGAGTGCAATCCGCGTGGAGGCGGGAAAATCTTGAATTCCCGGTGCAGCGCAGTCGTGCGGATGCAGAACCGCGTAACTCCTATTGAATTTCCAGGGAGTTGAGTTGTTTTGGCGTCGGCACGGTAGGGTGGCTCAACAAAGATATTTCACCGAGGGAAGAACGGAGCCCGACCCGGATTTCGGAAACGCGGTGAAAAGTTATTTGCCCGGACTTATTCTAATTGCCACCCTCGGCGACAAGTGCTGCGACAAAGACTACACGTTTGAAATATTACGGTACAATTTATTCGCGCCGTGAACAATGCTGTCTGCGCTGGAGCGATCTACCGGAGGCGCGAGGGGGAAAAGAACATGAAAATCCGAAATTCTCACCGACTACGGTGACAAACTAAGCAAAAGCTTTACATCATTTCATACAGCGCTGGATAAATACGGCTGTTATAAAGCTCTAAAAGCTTTTAAACTGGCATAAACGTCAGTCGCTACCGCGTGGTTGCCACGTTGAAAACGTCCACGCATTGCGTGGTTTCTCGAGATCATTAGCGGGTCTGAAGGGGGCTGGAGTGTGACAATCGCCCCTTCCGTTCGCTGAAAGGGTGAGAGTTAGGAGAGGAGTGAACGATGAACAGGTTAAGAAAACTGTACACACACGGTTAATGGGTCTGCTGCACGCAAGGAGTACAGCCAAATAAATATACGCACTGGAAAAAAAAAGAAAAAAACATTGGATCTAGAGTCTAGACTCTAAAAAACATCGACAAGAAAAAGTACTCTTGACTTAATCAGAATCTAGCTTAAATCAAGAACCAAGCCTCTTAATTTAAGCAGATTTCGTTTTGATTCAAGCAAAAATCCAACTGAATCAAGAGTATTTTTTCTTGTCAATGTTTTCAAGAGTCTGGACTCTATAGATCCAATATGGTTTTATTTCCAGTGCGGGTAAAATCGCACGAAAATCACGTTTAAAAAGTCTGAATTCCATTTCTTAGCTCGCAAATCGCATAGTTGGTAACTCGCTTTTTAAAGTTCCCCGCGTCTGCGGGCAGTTTTTCTCAGTCACTGCCAACCAGGTTTGCACAAGGAGAGGAATAAGGAATATTAACCTGAAAAACCGAATGATTCCACTAGCTTCATCACTGAAAAATAAGATTGGTAGAATAGACCATTCCTTCACGCTGTATTTCACACAGCGTCAACTTGGAAACAATTCCGCCAGAAAAAAGGTAAACGTTACTATAAACAGGTACAGGTAACCATTTCTCTGACAGAATCGACTTTGAAATTACGCTGTGTTAAATACAGCGTGAAAGAATAGTAAATTCTACCGATCGCGATCTTTCTTTTCAGTGATCTATCGTATGATTTCAATCGTTTTCAAGCATTTGATTCCTTATTTTTTCGTTATATATTGAAAAAAAAAATCTTTAGGTCAATGGAAGTCCTTCACTGTTAGAAATTTAACGCTTTCCGTGTTGTCTGTGTTTGAAATTTTGGCGTTCAGTTTCATCAAAGCGTTGTGTTAGTGAAGCCATGTAGTGCTTCACAAACACGGAGAACACAAAGTGCGGTTCTGAATATCTAATCCTGAGTTTTATAAACACGACTCATTCGGCTCATTTTGATTTTGAAAATCCGC